AAAGGAGGCCCTACACCATACTAATAAATTATTGTGGTCTAAAACTAGGTGTTTCAGTTTCATTGTCCAACCCCTGTATATATATATATATATATATATATATATATATATATATGTATATATATATGTATATATATTTGTTATATACGGCATTATGTCACACTTCGCCATGCCGCCCCAGCCACACCCACAAGCAAAAACTTTCAGTGTTAGAAACAAATTTAGACCAACTTGTTATCTGTCCTCTGACACAGTTTCAAGTTGATTAGGTTGAAAAGGTCAGAAAGAGGCCTTTCCAAGTGAAAAAGTGACTTCCTGTTCTCAGGGGGTGGAGCTTTGATGATGTCAGCATAAGACCCCTTAGGATTGTCGGGCACCCAAAGAGAATTGATGATACCAAGTTTGGTCTCATTCTGCTGATCTATATGAAAATTCCAGCTGTTTGAATGCTTTGGGGAGTAAATTAAGTTCGTGGCTTGGCCACGCCCCCTAAACATGCTCAAAAACCCTGGATTTTGATAACGTTTAATTTAAAGTTTGACATGTACAAAAATCAAAAATAGCCAACTTCCTTTTCATTTTACAGCATACTTCCAATATGCTTTGTTTAATGATTTGGGGGATCTACCCATGTACCAAATTTCAAATCTCTACGACTTACCAGTTTTCCTATCTCACTTTAGTGGGCACTGTAGAGCTGTTTGGCCACGCCCATTTTGTGCCAAGCTTGGTGAGTTTTCATATATGTTTAGACCCCCAAGAAGCTGTGTAACATGGCAAAATTATAATAAAAACAAATCTTGCGATTACAATAGGCCTTCGCAGCACTTAGCTGCTCGTGCCCAATAAAAATCACCATGCACCATCGGGAAACCCCGTCAATGAGGACAGCAACAAACAGAGCAACAACACAAACAGAAATGGACAGCCAGGGACCAAGAACCTAACTGTAAGCAACAGAAAAAAATCCCCCACAGGACACAAGCAGCAACAAAAACAACCAACCCACACTGGCATCAACAGCAGACTGCAGTCAACATCTCTAGATGTACCCAAACCACTAGGTCCCTAAATTCTCTATTCCACACAGATCACGAATAACACAAGTCGAGTAGAGTGGCCCAGCCAGAGTCCCAACTTCATTAACTTCATAAAGAATCTGTAGAGGGAACTGAAGATAAGGGTGATGGTAAGCAGGCCTTTCAAATTCAAAGACTTTTTATCAAAGAGAAATTATCAGTGGAAACAAGAAAAAGCTAGTCAGCAACTATAAGAACAGTTTAATTGCTGTTATGTCAATTTAGATTTTTCCATTAAATACTGAGAAGTGTGTAAGTTTGGCCAAAAAAGGAAAAATATTTATTTAAATTGAAACTCATTTTATAAGAGTATAAAAGGAGACGCTAGCCCCACGGGATTTCAATGTTAAATAAATGATAATACATAAATATTTTGTCACTTACTTTTGGGTCATAGTCACGGTGCTCTGCATCTGACTTGGTAATACAACCTCAGGGAATGAATCATAGCCATTTTTAGCAAAGAAGGCATTCAAGACACTCTGTAAAAAAGAGAGAAGTTATTTTTGAAATATTTAAAAATTCTGATTTTTATTATGCACAGGAAGTATTTTAACTTCAGTAATGGATGATGGGTCAGCTGTGCCTTTGGGCTTCCTCATCTCCAAAGAAAGAACAGTTTCAATCTCGAAAAGCTTGAGACCATCTTTGCTCTTTTCTGGTTTGAAACAGCATCCCCCTAAAATAATAAAAAAATATATATATAAATGAAATAAGTTCAAGAAATCACTGTCAATGTTCACAAATACAATCTAAAATAATACTGAACAAAACAGAAAACAAAATCATGTAATTACGCCACGATGTGACTTTCTTTGGCTTATTCCACTTCACACTTTTGTGTGATTATCCGATTTATTATTAAAAAATGTATTCTAGTATGACAGAAGTAAAAGTAAAGTAAAAAAGCTAGAGCTCGTCACTAAAGATATTTTGTCAACATACCATTGAACCACCACCTTAATGTGGTGAATGCTCAAATGATCTCAGAGGTTAAGTTGCTTAAATGCCACTGGTAGGCTCTCCCATGGCAAATAGGTTCTAGCTGACAGGTCAGACAAAGAGCGGTTCAGACACCTTCATGAGGACCAGTAGAATGAGGTATGTAATGTTGCCCAAAACGGCAGAACTGGGGCCCCACCCTCAGGCCAGGCCGAGCCAAGGCCAACTGAAAGACGCAAAGCCATCCCCCCGTGGGCCCACCAACTGCAGGGGGAACCATGAGGGACCGGTGCAATGAGGATCGGGCGGCTGTCGAAGGCAGAGACCTTGACGACCCTATCCTTGGGAAGTGGAATGTCACCTTGATGGGGGTGAAGGAGCCCGAGCTTGTGTGGAAGGTTGAGAGATATCAGCTAGAAATAGTCGTGCTCACCTTCACACACAGCATCTAGAGGTTGGACTCTCTTCTACTTTGGAGTGGCCCGCAGGGAGAGGCAGCGGGCTGGGGTGGCTTTGCTTGTCGCCCCCCAGCTTAGTCGTCTCGTGTTGGGGTTTACTCCTGTAATAGTTTTCTTAAAGTTACCTATGTCTCCTTATAGGAACATAGAAAGAAAATATGTAATCTGCTTAGCAAATGCCTTGTTAGTAGTTTTATTGCTGCACGCACACTAGATTAGATGTCATCACACCCACTGACCACACTGCTCAAACCAGTTGAAGCCGCTCTAGGCTGACACATAAATTTACTGATACACTGAGGTTTGTGCTTGGTGTCATGTAACAAGGCGGAGCGTAGAATATATAATGATGAGTGTTCTTTTGTTCTGGGTTCCACCTTTTTCTGCCATGTAAGGAGTAGGATTGAGCCCGGGTACTGTGGTAGTGCTACTTTTCTGCTTTTCTACATAAAATTTATGAAATTTAATTACAGAGTTGTGGTATGTCATTTATAGTTTAAAGGGTAAATGCAATCTCTTTGCCTGGAAAAAAGGACTTGAGTAACCAAACCGGAATGGTTACAAATTGATGTTTCCGCCCGGATTCCACAATAAAGAGGAAACTGCATAATTGTTCCTTTTACTGTTTTGCGAATAATGAACTTCTTATACAACCAACGGTTGCATCAATAAAAAGGTAAGCAGAAAACCTCTTTAGAAAATGTCACATTGGTTGTGCTAATGGCTCTGACAGTATGCGCCTTTGATTAAACAATTTTTCTGACTGACCAGACTTTACTTCAATATCTGCTTTTACAATGGGAACTGCCCATCTGCTGAGGCAAGCCAAAAATAGGGAGGTAAGCTGCCAATCGACGCGTCATCAGGTGAGAAGGAACCACCACCCTACACACTACAGTTTTGTCTTTTCTTAATGTTTGGATATACCTTAAAAATGTCAATGCAGGCTTAAAATAATTTTCTGCATTTGACTTGAGCAGAGGAATTCTTACATACAGCTGAGATCAAATGAAATCAAAAAGAGAATTATAACAGCAACACTCAGACTTATAGTTGCTGTCATTTCAGAGTTTAAAGTATAAAGAATTAGCAAGGAATTTCAGCAGCAGAATATGTAGATTCATATTAATGTGCACTTATCTTTAAATAGGATCCTAACAATTATCACTGCAAAATAGATTGATCAAAATGCTAAGATATATTGCTAAGAAAACATATTTTTGAAAAGAACTTGTTAAAAATGTCTTTAAATTCCTGAAGCTTCAGTGAGTCACTCAGTAAATTTGATATTTACAATCAGTTAAAAGATGAACCCCTGCCCAGTTTATCTGTCTGTGATGTTTTGTCTGTGTTTTGTTGGAATAAGTAAATATTTGTTTATATGTTGCAGGACATAATGATTCATGTTTAGAAAAATACTTCCTAACCCAAGATTGATTAAAACATTTCTGTTTTTTGGAAGAGTAAAGAAGCAGTGTGTTTCCGATGTAAATAGAGGTTATCAGTTTTGCAGTCTGAGCTGCACTAAGACAGACCTGGAAGCTGCTTATCGACGTTTCATCTGGTGAGAAAAACCTCCACCCCACACACCCACATACACAACCATGTAGACTTTAGCTTTAACAAGGATAGGAGATCCTTATCAGTAAGCCTGGGATATGCTGGAATGAGACTCAGTAGGAAGGCAACTGTGGCTCAGTAGGAAGAGTAGTTGTCTTGCTATCAGAAGGTTGTGGGTTCGATTCCTTCATGTGTCAGTGAGGCACTTAACCTCAAGTTGCCTACGTATCGGTTTATGAATGTGTGAGTGTTACTGAGTGCGATTGGGGTAATGTGGCTCTAGTGTAAAGTGCTTTGAGAGGTCTGCATGACTGGAAAAGTGCTATATAAGTTCAGTCCATTTTCCATTTAGGTTTAACTGCAGCTAACTAGTGTACAAATGAGCTTCTATATATATATATAACTACCTGTTGCAATGCTGGTTCCATGCAGAATGTTATTTGCCACATTTCCAAGAAGAATTGAATCCACTGTTATGTTGGATTTTATCAAGTTTGCTGCAACATCAGCAGGATTTTTCCTAGATCTGTTTGCAAAAATTAAAATGTGTTATTGAAGAGATCACGTCATTAATTAGCGGTGTAGTCATTACACAGGCAGAGTTTAATGATTCTCTTATTCTAAAGTCCCTAAAAATAATTACTTCTAATCAAGTATTGTTTTAATTACACACAGACAGAGGAATGTATTCATTCATGAACACAAACAGCCTCAAACGAAAATACAATGAAGTGCTTATTAAATCTGATCACAATTTCAATTTACCTAAACTAAGCTTTAAACTAAACCATGCTGGAAAAAACTTAAGAGTGAAATATTTCAAGACTTTATTTATTGTGATTTTGATGATTATGGCACACAGATAATAACACAAACAAAATTCAGTATATCACAAAATATTGTGAAAATGTTAAATATTGGAAACCCATGGGTTCCCACCCTGATCAGCTAATTAACTCCAAAGACCGCCAAAGGCCAAAGACCAATCATAGGGAAGACCTCTGACTGAACAGATGTGCAGAAGACACCCTCCATAAGGAGGGTAAGCCACAAAAGGTCATTGCTAAGGAAGGTGATTGTTTACAGGGTGCTGTAATCAAGCATATTCATAGAAAGTTAAGTGTGATAGGAAAAGGTGCACCAGCAACAGGTATAACTGCAGCCTTGAGAGGATTGTCAAGCGAAATCCGTTCAGGAATTTGAGGGAGTGGACTGAGTCTGGATTCAGTGCATCAAGAGCCACACAAAGGAATGGTACACATGAGCTACAAGCATCTTAAAGAGAAAAAGAACGGGACTGTTCATTGGTCCAAAGTCCTCTTTTCAGATGAAAGGAAAGTTTGCATTTCATTTGGAAATCAAGGTTCCAGAGTTTGGAGTAGTGGAGAGGCACAGAATGCACGTTGCTTGAGGTCCAGTGTGAAGTTTCCACACTCAGCGATGATTTGGGTGGCCATGTCATCTGCTGGTGTTAGTCTGGCGTTTTCTGATGTTCACAGTCAATGCAGCAATTTACCAGGAAATTTTAGAGCTCTTCATGCTTCCTTCTGTTGACAAGCTTTATGGAGATGCTGAATTCATTTTCCAGCAGGACTTGGCACTTGGCTACACTGCCAAAGGTACAAAGAGCTGATTCAATGACCATGGTGTCACTGTGCTTGACTAGCCAGCAAAGTGGCCTGACCGGAACACCACAGAGAATCTATGGAAGATTGTCAAGAGGAAGATGAGAAACACCACACCCAACAAGACAGATGACCTGTTGGCTGCCATCAAAGGGCTTCCATTACACCTCAGCAGAACCACAGGCTGATCGCTTCCATGCCACACCACATTGTCAAGTAATTCATGCGAAAGGAGGCCCAATCAATCATTGTGTGCATAGAAATGAAGATACTTTTCAGAAGCCTGACATCTATGTTCAAACAATCTTCTATAGGTCTTGGAATATTCTAATTGGGTTTTCATTACCTATAAGTCATAATCATCAAAATTATAAGAAATAAAGGCTTGAAAGTTTTCATTCTATAAGATATGACTTTCACTTTCTGAAATGATTGACAAAAAGTATTAAATTGTTTATGATATTAAAATTTTTCAGATGTACCTGTATGTAAAGCCATTTACTGCTTATTTGCTATTTGGCATTATAAAACTGCATCCTTTTAAATTATATTTTACAAAGAAATACAAGTCATCCATACATGGTAATAAACCCCTGATCTTTATCTTCTTAAACTTTTCTTTGTTAAATTCATCTATTGAGCTATTTGTGTGGATTCACCTCTTTTTGTTGCCAACCATAACCCCAGTCTCCCTACTACATATTAGCTATAGTATTACAGCTAACCAAATAAAATGTAGAGAAAGTTTACCCAACATCATTTCCATCTGTGAGACACAGAATGCGAAGTCTACATTCTGGAAATTTATTTTTTACTTTTTCCAGCTCCAGCCTTCCATGTTCCAGAGCATCATACAATACAGTACGCCCCGATGGCTTGAGATTTCGCACATGTTCCTAAACAAAGATATAGCTGGTTAGAAATATGACTTGACACCCCAAGATATTTTTGAATTAGACTATTTAAATTTTAGACTCGGATATGCTATACAAAGACAAGTTAAAAGTCTTACCTTAAACTTTTCAAGTGTTTCTGTAAATGTGTGCACTGTGTTTACATTTGTAGAAAATGTCACAAGGCCGATGATGTGATGAAAATCATAAGCCATACTTCGTGATGCAAAATTGTCCAAAAGTTCTGCTACAGCATGAATCTTTTGAATGTGCACACTTCCATAACATGTTTCACTCATTGATGAGCTTGTGTCTATCAGTACCTGGAGAAATAAAAGTTATAAACTGTGACACATATTTTTCAGCTGATTTGTTAGTTCAGATGCACATGTGTCAAGAAAAATGTCTGAAGTAGGTTCATTTTAAACTTTCTTGTTTTTGATCCTCTCTGCCTTAAACTGGTTTTGTCAAACATGTAGTCTTCAAGGTTGTGTGAGGCCGTCAGAGGAATTTTATTAGGGCCTGACTTCTTGGTAAACCCGTTGTTCATGCCCATGCATGAACATTTCCATGTTTGAACTTATTTTACAGTTAACTACAGAGCATCTGAAAAGTATTCACAGCATTTCTCTTTTTCAACATTGTTGTTACTGCCTTATTCCAAAATTGTTTAAACCTTTGTTTCCCTCAAAGCTCCACACACAACACCCTATAATGACTATGTTATTTTTAGTTCGTTTTGAAAATATCATAAAGGTTTAAAAACAAATCACATGTACATAAGTATTCAACCTTGCTGATTGGAGAGGATTTGGAAAGGTACACATCTGTCTATATACAGTGCCTTGCGAAAGTACTCGGCCCCCTTGAACTTTTCAACCTCTTGCCACATTTCAGGCTTCAAACATAAAGATATAAAATTAAAATTTTTTGTGAAGAATCAACAACAAGTGGGACACAAT